CCTAGGATTGCCCATGTTGTTGCACTTTTTGGAGATCTTTTTTTTTTTTTCCTTTGTGTACAGAAATGAGTATTTATTTAATGCTCTTGCCTTTCCATTTGGACTACTCCCTTGAGTAATATTTGCAGAGCTGGTCTGATGGTGGCAAATTCCCAGAGCTTATGTTTGGGAATGTCTTGACTTCCCCTTTTTTTGAATCACAACCTTGGTAAGTAAAGAATTCTTGGTTGGCAATTATTTTCTTTCAGTATTTTATATATGTCGCTCTGTTGTCTTCTGGCCTCTAATAGAGTTTCTGGGGAGAAATGTGCACTGAATCTTATGAAAGCCCCTTGGTATGTTATGTTTTTCTCTTGCTGCTTTCAGAACTCTCCTTGTCTTTGGTTTTCAAGAATTTTATTAGGACATGGTGCAAAGTTGATCTTTTTGTCTCTTTTAACTGGGGTTCATGTAGCTTCCTGTATATGCAGCCTTGGTTACCTGCTCAGATCTGGAAAATTCTGATTATCTCTCGGAAAATCGTTTCTATGTCTTTATTGTTGTCATGGTGCTCTGGGATTCCAATAATTCTAATGTTAGATTTCTTAATTGAATCCCATGTTTCCTTTTGCGTTTGTTCACTCTTCTTTGTTCTTTTCTCTTGACACTTGGTAAGTTATTTTGTCTTCTAGTTCATTTATTCTGTCTTCCATCTGTTCAACTCTATTGAGTGTTTCTCCTGCTTTTGCTAATTCAATTTTTTTATTCTTCAGTTCCAGTAGTTCTCTTTGGTTGTTTTTGTTTGATTTTTTTTTTTTTTTTTTTGGGACCTTTTCAATTTCCACGTTGAGTCTCTCATTTTGTTCCTCCATTTGTTTTCTGATCTCCGCTAGTCTGTTTTACATGTACTTTTTGCTTTCTTTAAACATATTTACCACCACAGTCTGAAAAGTATTCTGGACTCCATAGGAGAAATTTCCTCTTCGTCATGTTTCACTTTTGACCCGTCCTTCTCTTGTGATTTTGTGTGTTTTGCTAATTTTTGTTGAACCTCAGCCATTCTGTTATTTTTTTTATTTCAAATTTTGTGTACTTGTTTTTGTGGGAAAATTTTCTGATTGGACACCCTGGTGGCGCAGGGGCCAAGCACCTGGCTAACTACTGAAAGGCCAGGACCTACACCCACCAGCTGCTCTGCGGGACAAAGATGCATCAGTCCACCTCAACGAAGACTCACAGCCCTGGGAACCCCACAGGGCAACTCCACTAAGCCTCACAAAGCCACTATGAGTCAAAATCAACCCAGCAGCAGCAGGCTTAGTATCTTCTCCTGAGAACCACTAGACGTTACTCTTATCCTTAGGTTTTTTTCACTGCTGAATCAGGAGTTCTGGATGCTTTATCTCTGAGATTCAATATGCATGAATGGGGAGTGGGGGTTGCTGGTCACAGATGCTGACGTAAGCAGTGGAACTTGACTCCTGTGGTGAAGGTAGGGGACTCTTTCCCTCACAGGTGCCTCAGTCCAGGCTCACCCACGGTGTCCTGCTGTGGGCTGTTTTCCCTCTGTGTCGCCCCATCAGTCTAAAGTATTCCCTCTGCCCTGCTGCCCTTTCTGTTCCTCTCGGTTCTAGTGCCTGTCTCTCAAACCTCAGCAAGATTCAACAGCACTCTCTCGTAGTACCAAGCTCTCCCTTTGCCCCCTCCCAACTCCACAGCCAGGGAATTCCCACAGCTCCCTGGCACTGTCTTTAAAAAAATCGAGCTACAGCTTCCTCAGATTAGCTTATTTTGTGTGTTCCCTGTTTAGGGTGTTACCCAGCCCCATCCCAAAGTGGCTGCAATGAGCCAAGTTCTCCCAATGTCTGTGGGTAAGTTCTCCCAGCTTGTGCATCCCCGCTCCTCCTCTCCCTGCTTCTGGACTCACCCCAATTCTCCAATACCACAGCTGCTGTCCGGAGTTCTGAAATCTCAGCCTGTGCTTGTTTTATTCACTGTTTAGTGGGTTAGTTGCTGGGGGAGTACAAGGGAGCCTCCACTCACTTCGCCATCTTGCTCTGTCTCCTTATATCTTTCCTTTTACTATTCTGTCTGTAAATCATTTTACCTTAAATTGTATTTGAGCTAGTATTAATGTTTTAGTTCCTCCCTTTTACCTTGCATTTACCTAGTACACATTTCCCTTTGGCCAGCTGCTCCCTAGATATGTGACATTTGGCAAGTTACTTATCTGTCTCTATTTCCCTACCTGAAAGATACGCAGCTTTCATAATTTCTCTGAGGATTAAATCAGTTAATATTTGTTAAATATTTAAAATAAGGTTTCTCAACCTCAGCACTATTTACATTTGGAGCCTGATAATGCTTTGTTGTGGGGGCTGTTCTGTGCATTTTAGGATTACTTCACAGGATCCTTGACCTCTACCCACTAGAGGTCAATGGCACCCTCTTCCCAGTTTTGACAACCAAAAATGCCTCCAGACATTACCAAATGTTCCTTAAGAGGGCAAAATCACCCCCAACTGGGAACCACTAATTTAAAACAATGCCTATGATATTTTTTTGTTTTAAATGTTGCTGTCAATTCTAACTCATGGTGACCCCCTGTGTGTCAGAGTGCAACTGTGCTCGATAGGGTTTTCAATGGCTGATTTTTCGGAAGTAGACTGCCAGGAGTTTCCTCTGAGGCACCTCTAAATGGACTTGAACCTCCAACCTTTCGATTAGCAAAGCACATTAACTGTCTGCACCACCCAGGGACGAATAAATGCTATATGAATGTTTGTTAAATAATTATTCTGTGGCTGTGGCCACTCTCCTTCCTAGGGCGCCTGCCTACTGTATGATGGAAAAGCTCAGCTATATCAGGAAGAAGCCCTGCTGCTCACAACTACTTGATGTAGCCATATTTATGCTTGGATTTCTCAGCTAACTGCTTCAGGTGCTGATTCACAGCACAGAGTGCTCATTTTCTGTCCCACAGCCCACTCTCACTGCCAGATCTTACCCCTCCAATTTAACAATGGGGCTCTCCTAGAACTTCTACTTATTGCCTGTGATTCGGTAAGTTTTCAAAAAGCAAAACTGCAGGCCAGTTGTAATGTCTTCTTTTAACATGGTTCCTCCTGCATATAGTTAACAGATAGATGGGTGGCCTTCTTCCCCATTTCCAGGGTGCATTCAGGATTTGTCCTATTTTAGGGCCATCTTAAGTCAGTTTAGGGAATGAGGGGAAGCCTATATTGAGGCTTACATATTTGCTAGAACTCTATCCTACGTGTTTTTTAGGATTAGATCTCCTTAAAAGTAGACTTTTTTTTTTTTTTAATTAGCTCTTTTCGGACGAAAATGTGCAACAGACTAGATTAGAAAAACAATACACTTAGACTTGGTAGGAACTAAAACATGTAGTAAATAAATAAAAAACCCTGTCCTTTTTTTTTTTTTTTACCATCAGAGTATAAAAATACTAGAAATTTAAAGATTTATTAACCAAACCAGTTGTCACTGAAAGTCAATTCTGACTCAATAACCCTACAGGACAGAGAACTGTCTCATAAGGTTTCCAATGCTGCAAACCTTTACAGAAGCAGACTGCCACATCTTTCTCCTACAGAGCAACTGGTGGGTTCGAATGGCCAACCTTCAGGTTAGCAGCTGAGTGCTTAACCGCTGTACCACCAGGGCTCCTTAAAGAGTCTTAATAAATTTCTGTATCTCTAATCTTTGCCAAATATCAATATTATGCCTTTACTATAGATAGATGTCTTCTCCTGGATTGCTTGATAAAGTGTGTGCAGTATATTTATGAAGTCACTTGAGATAAAATTTTGGCAAGGAGTCAGAAGGTTAAATTTTCTTGACCTGCTTAAATCTAGGGTCATATTGTATCATAAGGGAGATTATATTTCTGTTATCTATTATCTGGAAGCTGTCTGAGTAGATGCGATATTCACTGACTTACAGAACCGGCGAGGATCTCAGAGTTCACATAATTCAGCCTCCAACTCAACTGTGCAATCTGGTCTACATCATCTCTGCCAAATGATCATCTTCTCCCTGCAATAAAAGAGGACTAAACTGCTCTACATGAAATAAGAGGAGAAAGTTGGGGATGTTTGCTCCTGAAGAAAACAAGAAAGTAAAAAGAGCAAGTTAAAATGAAAAAGCAAATTATCAACTGGGAAAAAAATTACAAGTGATGATAATATCCTTAATATATAAACAAGATTTACAAGTTAATTTTTTTTAAAACACTGAGGCAACAAAAGAAAATCAGCGAAGGACAAACAATTCACAGAGAACAAGAAACGAATAATAAACATGTAAAAAAAGTTAAACCTTAATTATACTGAATAAAAATACAACTGAAAAGATAGAACACACACACACACACGTGTGTATGTACAAATACATTTTTTAAATTGCCAAAAATTATTTTGGAATGATATCCGATGCTGCTCACAAAGAGACAAGGAAATGGGCACTCTCATACGCTGCTGGTAGTAGTCTAAACTGATACTAAACAATACATACAAACACACAAAATCAAAGTCTATTCTGTAACATCATTATGGTTATAGTACTAAGAAACTAAGAAACAATATTAAGACACCTTACAGTACTAAGTTATCAAAAATAGGGATATTAAAATTAATGGATGCTATCACGGGGAAAGGGAAATATGGCTACAGTTTCAGAATCACAATACCAATATTATCATCAGGAATTCCATAAAGCTATTTTTTATTCATCCAAGTGCACTTTGTTATGGCAAGCTACAATAATAAATTTATTCAATAAATGTCCAAAAATTATCTTCATAGAGACTATATTTTCTGAGTATAATAAAACACTATTATGTAAAAAAAAAAAAAAAAAAAGATAGATTGAACAACCCTACATGTCTGAAAACTAATATTAAGTAGCATTTGTTTTAAGGAGAAAAATTATGAGGGATTTTTTTTTTTTTTTTTTTAATTTCAAGCTAAACGAAAGCACTACATGAGAAATCTATGGGATGTAGCCACAACTATGTTTAACAAAAAACATTTTTGTATTAATAATTAATAAGAATGAATAACGAACATCTGAGTACTTTCTATACGCCATGCACTTATTATGGTTTTCACACGTTATCACATTTAAACTTTTTAGTTGTATTTTTATAAAGTATGTAGTATACGCCTATGAAAATGAAACATATACAACAGTTGAACCCATTTAGATCTCATCAGTAGTACTTGAAAGTTCCTACTGCACTTCATACTTAAACCCAGGTATTATCAGACTTTAGTGTTTACCAACCTGGCAGGAAAGCAGCAGTTTCTTGTTGTGGTTTTAATTTGAATTTCCTAATTAATGAGGTTGAGTATCTTTTTATATGTTTATTGGACATTCAAGTTTCCTCTTTTATGAAGTACCTGTTCTCAGGTTTTTCTCATTTTTCTACAGGGTTCCTTTTCTGTTTATTGGTTTTGGGTAGGAATTCTTCATATAATCTGGATATCAGTTTTTATCAGTTACACAATTTGTAATTATCAGTAATAATTACCAGTTTGTAACTTTTTACTTTCTTCAGCTTTAAGGTCCAAAATAACTTTAAAACTAACACCTGTCCCCTCTCACCACCCATCCTCAGAAAGCCAATGTTTGAACATCAAAGACTTCATGGCAAAACCAGTTTCAGAAAGCCACAACTAGAAAAACAGGAAAAACAAAGTTTAAATAATCAAGGAATTCCCAGCATTCCTAGAATCACTTGGAAAGACTGTACAAGGTCAACAGTGTGAAACAAAGGAACACAGAGTCTTCACTTGATGGTCTGATTATCAGCAGATCATGGAATTTTATCTCAAGCAGACAGCTAGGAAGCTTTTCAGATATTTCCCAGGTCCTTTTAATAACTTGGAAAACAAAATAACTCTGGCAACTCAGAATGTAACTTCTTTCTCTTCTATTCCTCTACAAGAAGGATTCTGGCAGAAGTCCCAAGCATTTATACCAGTTGTTCCCAAACTCCAACGTGGGGATTAATACAGGCCCAGGACGAAGTTTGTGTGTGTGTGTCTTTTATTCAATCTAAAGTGCAATGTGAAAAAGGACACAATTTAATTTTTTCACAAAGCTAAATGTATTCAATTTGAAGTATTTGTCTTTTATTCTGCAATTATGTCCTTCCTTTGTATATGTGAGTCAAAATGTTCTTCCTTTGGAAATGAGGGTGATAGTGGAAATTTTTAACATCCTTATTTGGCAAAATAAATTTGGCCACCTCCATAGACTACACAGATAATGGAAAACTTTTACTATTCATAAAACCTAAACTGTGTAAAACAAGTATTGATGCTTCTGACGAGGAAACAAGGATTTCTAAGAAAGGCTGGCCCTGGGGCATATAATACCAATCCCTACATTTTGGAAGCTCATATTTAAATGAAAATAGTTTCAACAGGAGCCAACCTTACTCCTGCTCCACTTTTTAGGGAGGGCTTAACAATGCCCTTAACATCCATCTTACTTTTCAATTCTGAAATTGCTTCTGCTAGCTGTTAAGTATGAACATAAAATGACTAGGCTATCATGGCAACCTATTTCACAGAAGGCTTTAAAGCCAGAATAAGAAGGTAGAAGGAAATAACAAGGTACCTTAGAAGCCCTAGAAAGGTAAAGATGAAATAGTGTGTAAAACATGAATGATATGGGCAGAGAGAGTACAAGCAAGATGAGTGAAAGGACAAAATTTGTACACATGGTCTCTAACTTAACAATGAGTTCTACTGCTTAATTGTGAGCTGGTTAAATGGAATTCAAAATGGAAACATTTTCCACAGAAAAAATGTTGTAAACAGAGCTGGTTTCCAAGCAGCCTACAAGGGTCTATTAATCTAGATACAGAAATATCTCTCTATCCTCAATACCTCATATGGCTCAGTTTGGAGGTAAGAGGTTGGATGCTCCCAAAGGGTATAAATTCATTAAATTCTCTATTTGTAAACAAAAAACAGCAATTTCTTATACTACTTTGATGGTGAGATAAACGCAAGCACTGTCCTAAATTGTTCACTTCCTGCTATTCTAAATTGGGAAACGAAGGGACGCGCTCTTCACAAGGACACAAGCCAGGGTTCCAGAGTTTAGCTCCTCTAAGCCAGCTCCCATTAAACACTGGTCCTAAGACAGGATCATTCCGAAAATGTGTTGTGGCAAATAATGCATCTTATCCTGGATCCCCAAGTATTCTGCAGGGTGTTCGTGGTACATTTTCATTTGCACAGGAACATATTTTTGCTCCACAGTCCCCAACCTTCCCATTTTCTATGGCTTGTTCTTTCTGAGAGACTTGTTTTCTATATCACAGAACACCGGTGGCATTATAACCCAGGTGCAAAACTGACTGGTTACACTGTCCCTTACCAAAAAACACCAAACCCGTTGCGGTCGAGTCAATTCCAACTCATAGCAATCCTATAGGACAGAGTAGAACTGCCCCATAGGGTTTCCAAGGAGCGGCTGGTGGATTCAAACTGCCGACCTTTTGGTTAGCAGCCGAGCTCTTAACCACTATGTCACCAGGGCTCCAAATTGTCCTTTAAGCCAAGTTAAATCTCAGGTCCTATACATTCCACTTGATCTTGGCAAGTCAACTGTGACAGTAACTATTGCATCTGCCTGCACTCTACTGGACTGAAGACTTACAACCTCATCTTTTTAGCAGCCTTTTTGAAGCTACAATATTCCTTTATTCAGTTGAAAACGCTCAACTAGGAAAATACTACCATGGCTATGGTCTTGCTACAAGTCACATAAAATTAAAGGTTTTGCTCAAATAAATTAATCTCCACAGAAAATATACAGTACATATCGATACATAATAGCTTTTGACCTCATCAACAGACACACAGCATAATAACTTCCGTCCTCATTAACATGCTACTAATGGCTTATCCTAACAACAACCAATTTTCCACTGTCCCTGCTACTTATTACTTTTTTCAGAATGCCAAGGCATTTGAGTGTACCTGGGACATTCATGCACTATGATAAGGCAATCAAAATGGCAGAATTTGTTTAATGACAAAATTGCACTTGAACATTATGACTAGCAATTCTTTTTTCTTTAAGGCTTACACACATAAGAACCCCAGTTCTACCAAAGGTAATTATCAATTTCTCTGAGTTTGTCAGCTGCTTGACTAAAAAGGGATGCATTGTTTTGTAAATGAGAAAACACAGGTACCTCTGGTTCCATTCTTAACTCCCATGGGTAAGGTGCTGAAAAAAAGGTCTTTCTTGCCCACACACTCAGTACAATGGCTAGATTATCACGGGCACTCAAGGAGTACTTACTGGAGATTATCACTACAGTACGGATTCATTCACTTCATGAGCTTAATTTGGGACATATACCTGGATGATCCTAAGAACATAGACTGAAGAATAATTACAGCACAGACAGAAAAACCATCAAATGAAAAGCCCCCAAAAGCACTGGAATGGCAAGCTCTGCTAAACAAACCTACTGATCATTTTTAAGACGGTGGTTATACTTAAGCCAATGTGCATCACAGTTCATTTCACAGAAATGACTCCATAGCTTCAGGAGTCCCCTGTGAAAGTATAAATACTGGCACCACAAATTTAAACTTATTTTTAGACTAAAAAATAATGAATCACTGAACCACCCTGTCTTTATACAGACCTGCACCACACTAGATTTGCTATCTCACAGGCTGCCAATTATGTTACTAAAAACTATCACAGACTCTATGAGGGGATAATGGAGAATTCTGCTACATGTTAGGAACATACAGAACGAGGCAGGAGATTTAAATAACACCCAGAGTTACAATTTTTAAGTAAACTAAACGGTATGGCTCAAATAGTTAAAAAAGATGAATAAACTGGCCAATTGTGTGGGAGAAATCCTACAGCATTAATAGTTGTAACCCAATTACTATGATCCTCTTTCTTAAGCCCAAAGTGTTTTCATATCTATTCTTGCATTGGTATTTATAACATTCCTGAGAGCCAAGTAAGGACAAAGATTATCCTGCCAAATTTTAGTTGGGAACATTATGCCAAATCAAGGTCAGACTGTTAGTGAAGTTTATTAACAGTCTTCAGTATGATGTTGTCATAGGCATGAAGTGAACACTGATTTGAGATAATGCCCCCAGCTATCATCATCAGTAGATCAGAGTATCTTTTCCCAGAGACCCTGGACTGACTCAAATCGATCTTCATTAGTAAAATTAGTTACGTAACATTATACAGTATGCACTGTGTACAAAGCACTGAGCTGAGAACTATGATTAGTGCTTCATTTAGTTTAACAACAACGCTTTCAGTTAGGTACCATTATTAACTTCATTTTACAGATAGGAAAACTGAGGCTTAGAGATGTTAACTTCCTGAAGTTGCTGAGTTAGTACATCATGGAACTTGGATATGATCCCAGACTTCTGACGCAAGAGCCCTGTTCCTAGCTACTACACATTCCTGCCTTCCAAACTACCCAAGCTGGTACAGGAGCCAAAACCTGTGCCGTTCCAGAAGGCAGAATGAATACTGGTCAGAAAAGTTAGCTGACTTATGTTTTCTATCAACTCACACTTAATAGGTTTGTGAACGTGAGCCTTAATTTACTCATTTGGAAAAGGTGAGAGAGTGAAACCTGTGAGAGCCAGAACTCAACAGGACTGCCTTGTTTCTCCAGGTGTCCCAAGTTTTCCACTTTTGAACTAATCACTGAACCATCACTGAGGGTGTGGTCTTACCACTTTTCTCTTGCTCATCTTGGTGAAAAATATTTGCGTTTCCCCTCTGACTGGTTTCCGCCTTACATAGGTTCTGGCTTTCTCAGATTTTACTGTGATTATGAGATTATTCTAATCCACAGTCTTGTGATTTCTGTAACTGTATCATACTAGGATCACACTCCTATGTCCATATAATGACTATAACTGAATAGGAACATACATTTAGATAACCAGAGTTCTAGTCCAGCAGTCTTAATGAAAGACAGGTCACATGTGGGCCTTTCCCAATTCTGATTTCTTGTCTTAAGGGGGCATTTTCCAGCATGAAGTGCACCAAAGAGAGTGAGATGTGTTCTAAAGACAGGTAATTCCAATGTGTCCTCTGGTTGAGGACTCACCTTGGACTGTGGTAAGCCCTCAACCAAAGGACTCTAAACTTAAGAGAAACTGAAATCTTTCTCACCTACCTACTGACCATTATTCCTAGGGTACCTAGCTATTTATGCTCTGAAAACCTAGCACAGTGACTGCCTTGCACGTAACTATTCAATACATCTTAGTTATTACTTACAGAATCCCTGTAGATGGCTTACTTGAATTTCCTGAATGCAGTGAAAAGCAACCTATTCCAGAGCTCTCTATTAGTTCAATAATTACAAGTTCAAAGCTGCTGCTTTGAATCTCTCGAGTTATTCTTTTCTTGACTTGTAAAGCAAAACAGAATAAGTTCACTTTCTATTTAATATAAGAAACTTAATCCATTCCGAACTGCATTATGAGAGTTTAAACATTAGCCATACCACTTAAAACAAGGAAAAAGCCATCCTTCTCCAATGATTAAACTACTAAAAAATTGATGGTACAAAAAAAAACTTGCATTTCAATAGTACTAGCTTTATTTATTTATTTTTTTAAACAAAAAAAAAAAAAAAAGGTCTAAAAGCAAAGACAGATATGTACTGAGGGATAGACATGACCTGGTACTTACAAAGAAACTGTCATGTTAGATATGGTAACACACAGACAGAGAAAAATAGTATTCCAGGTGCTGTCTGTGTGAGTAATCTAGAGGAGTAAGAGAACTGAAAGGTGCTCTGCCAAGCAATCAGGGTGAACAAAAAAAGACCACCAGAAGTTGCTTCCAGAGAACTCGGTGGCAGTAGCATGAGAACTGGCATCAACTCACAGTCTTCTCATTTTCTCCATTTTCTATAATTTTCCTCTTCTTTTCATCTGTTTTTTTCTTGAAGATGTTATTTCGGTAAAACTGAAGTTCTCTGATGCTTTCACTAATGTCATCGAGTGCCCTAAAAGCAAACACACCATGTTGAATGACACCCTTAAACACAGAGGAGATGGAAATCGTTTTACAAAACACAACTTCTTATAAATAACTTAAGAACAATGGGCACTACCGTAAATGCCATAATTTGGCATCATCAAGAAATGGGACATTTCAATAAAGCAAATTTAAGTGTTCTGTTTTTTAAAAAATGTTTGGTAACGAAAAAAAAACTTTCTAAATCATAGCAGACTGAAGTTTCCCCAACTGTTGCATAAATGGTGATGTGTCCCACAGAGGGTGAAAAAATGATTCTAGGGTCAAGTAAATTCAGGAAAAACTAGATTAAACATTTTTTCTTTAGAAGTTCTTTGTGAACTATTTAATATACTAATGTGCACGGTGAATTCCCAAGAGGAGGTTATAGTATATGCACACAGTATTTCTAAAACTTAATTGACCACATTTGTGGAGTACTTATTAACAGCTCATGGAACATAGTCTGGGAAATAACTGAGCAATACTTGACATCCCTGAACAAATATACTGACATGCTTGAACATAATTCATGTCTCAGTCATAATAAACATCAATTATCAGACAGTACCTAACCATAAAAGAGGATCTACCTCCTCTCTCGTGGTGATTTGTGCTATAATCAGTGGCAGCCTGCCTCCATCTAACAGCCTTTCTTCTCGTCCAACATGCTGTTTCTCATCTGTTGTAGTCTGAGAAATCAGGTAACCAAGATTATTAGAACAGTGTGCAAGTAAATCAATAAGCTCTGAATGATGGGCCTCTTCTAGAGAATAAAACTGCACAAACTTTAGTGCAAGAGTTTTATGACAGTTATTTCTGTGGCTAAGGCAACAATTGTTTTCTTCCTAGGTCCTACATACACGGTGGAGCGCTGAACCTGTCAAAATTACACCCTCTGGCTAAATAAAGGTACACAGCCTCTTTATACAATACTGAAATTCAAAAGAGATCTGAGAACCCAAAGTACTTTTATAACCCATTAAGTGGCAAAACCTGCCTGGTCTTGATGTGAGGCTATTTATACTCATTAGTTATTTCATTGGGTGTGATTACCTGTATGTTTTACTGTAGATATCAGTGTGTTGTATTATAGGGTACTCCCTTAGACCTTGCTGGAGTGTTACCAAATGTTTATCAAAACAATGTACGAGCACTATTACCTTTCTAAAATCTGAAAGAATTCTGAATTTAAAACACATCAAGCCCAACTGTTTCAGATAAGGTATTATATACTTGTATTACTGTGTTACAGTCCATGTAAGATCAATGAAAAAGAAAAAAAAGCCCATTAGAATGAACGACTCTTTAGAGTAAGGACTTGGTCATTTTCTGCTTGCCTAGAACTGTGCATATCACACAGTAGGCACCCAGTAAAGGATGAACCAAATGCTTCCTTTAGAAGGAATCTCCCCTCATTCATGTTCACCCTGAAAGACTACAAAATCAAAAAGTGAAAAAATTAGCACAGGACACATGGTATACAAGATCTTTAAATCCCTGTGTATTTGTAACTAAGGCTGTAGTGCATGAAAAAAACAATCTGAAGAATTTTAAGTGTCAAATTTAGGATTACAGTATTATACAACCATACATAAAGTGTTCTCATTTTAAATGGCTATAAGCCTATATCCTCTGTGGGAAGAAAATTAATACTGCTCATTACTAGAAAAATTATAGTTTGTTTCATCATACCTACAAACTAAGCTATCTAAAAGTTTTAAAACTATAATAAAGACTACAGGACCCACACGTATCTCAGAATGGAATACTGGAATCCTGATCAGCATTCCTGATAATCCTAGCAAAATAAAGTTTTCCTTATGCTATTCAATCTTTATCTTTCCACCAAGGGAAAGGGGTGGACAATCACTCAGAAATCTGAGGATTATGGGTGCATCAAATTGCCAAGTGCTTGGTAGGACCCAAACATACCTGTGAGAAGCAGCCTTCTTTGGTGCAAATTCATATTCTTCTGGATACCAGCGTCTATATACAGCAGAAATGGAACTCTCAAAGGAAAACTGTCTCAAATATACTGAAAAATTACCTTCTTCAAGTAATTTATCAATACTGAAAAAGGCATTTGGGTGTGACTATCAAGCTGCCTCTTCACCTAGGGCTCTGTCTTCCACCCTTCTCTCCTCATTCTACACATTCTCTTTGAGCAAGCTCACCTAACCACTATCAATGTACAGAGTCAAATCTGTAACTTCAGCCCAACCCTCTCCTGAGTTTCTCTCCTGGATATCCAACTGCCTGCTAGACAACTCCACCAAAAATTCCATCAGGCACTCCTAAGTCAACATATGCAAAACCACATTCACCATCCTAAACACCCCTCTCCTCCATCCACCAAATCTACTCTTCCTCTATGTTCCCCTTTATCTCTGAACAGTCATTTTACATTTCTTCCTCTTACTCACTCCCCACATCAAGCATTCAATGTCCTGCCAATTCACCCGCTTTGATACTTCATCTCCATACCTTTCTCTACAGCCCAACTGCCATTTCCCTAGCTTATTCTTCTCTCTCCAAGATGATGCAGCAGTTTCCCTTCTTATCTCCCTATCTCCTTTCTAGCTATCTTCTAATATATTCTCCATCCTAAGATCGGAATGATCTAATCATATCACTCATTCCTCACTTAAAATTTTTCAAAAGAATCCTATCTCATATGAGATAAAATTTAACCTCCTTAGCATGGCCCTTCAAAATCCGGTCTCATCTCCCACCTTTTCCAACCTCACGCTTAGCACTCCAGCATTACTGAACTGCTTGTAGGTCCTTGAACTTGTTGGTTCTTATCTTCCTGCTGCCTCACACCTTCATACCTCTGCCCATTCCCTTTGACTAGAATGTTCTCCCCTCCCTTAAAAGCCTGAAAAACTTCTACTCATTCTTTAATCTCAACTTAAAAGCTAATTACTATACAAAGCTTTCCCTGTTGGGTGCTCTTTCCTTTGTGCCCTCAATATACTATATGCACATGGCCACTACCGACATCATCACCCAGTATATTTGGGGGGGGGGGTGTTCGTTACACATTTGCCAACCCACCAGACTGTAAGCTACGTAAGGGCTTTTTAGCTATGTGTTCCCAGCACACAGGCCCATGCCTGGCACAGAATGGGGGGTCAGTAAGTTTTCTGGATTAATGAAATTTATATGGAAGGCTTTTGGCATTGTTTCACCCAATTCTCACCAGTCCAAGATAAATTAAGGTTCTGTCCAAGTGAGAACAGGATGAGGAAGATATACTCCCACTTTACATCCTCAGCTTTGTAGCTCTACTCAATTACTTTCCACAAATTCTCAGTAAAAACATGCTAAATGAGGCAATTTAATGGATCCTAAATATAGCCCTTACCTGCACAGTTCTTTAACAGTGCTCACATCAATTATTCTATAATGAAGATGTTTCATGAACTGAGGCATGTATTTGTCAAGAAACTTCTTATCTGCATGAACTGAATTTCCTAGAAAGACACGAAGCATACTGCATCTGTGTATTTCTAGTAGTATACAACAGGATATAAAAACTAGCATTTGAAATGGAGATGATTTTTTTTTTTTAATTTAAACAATTCCTAAAAGCATCTCAAAATTTTTAAATCAATCTGAGAACATCTGATTAGGTTCCAAACGCACATTTCTGAGTATTTAGTCAGTCTAGCTCATAATAAATTTGTCAATGGTCTCTCTGTGGACAAAATAGTAAGTCTCTATCTACCACATGCTAAAATAATGCATACATCTATTTGTTACTTTTTATCATACCAGATGCACAAATTTTCTCCCAGTGTCAGGAAATACACACTGCTGATACTAAAAATTTAACTGAATCACAGAAGTAGATAGACCTTTATTTATATTCCAATTTTTTAACAAATCATATCCATATTCACATTTCCATACAGTTATTCATATTAAAAACACTTAAGTTTTAAATTAGAGCTTTAAAACAGACATCAGCCACATTATCAGGTGGGGGGGATTAATACAATATATGCTCTAGTATTTAATGTCAAAACATTTTTTACAAATGTTTAAAGGGAGTATTACCACATCAATTTACATATACAAATGCAAGTACATCTCCAAGGAACATTAACTTCCCTCTTGACAATGCCAGTTCTTTCAAAATCCTATTAGAACTAGCCTGGTCTCTTTAAAAAGTCAATGCCACAGGGAAAGAAAGGTAGGTAGACAGTTTTAGATAAACAGACTAAGGAAACATAATAACCAAATGAAACACATGAACCTTGACTAAATCCTGGTTGAAAAACAAGTATAAGACATCTTGGGGAACTTGATAACCATGAATTATTTTTAAGATCTTAAATGTGATAGTAATATTGTAATTATGTAAGGGAATGTCCTTATTCTTAGGAGATGCTTGATGACGCATTTAGGAATCAAGTGTCAAGATGTCTGCAATTTACTTTCAAATGTTCAACAAAAAAATAGGTAAGTAAAACAAACATGGCACAAGATTAACAATTACTGAATCCAACTTTTCTGTACACGTGAAATTTTTCCATAGTAAAAACATGGGGGAAATTTTTATTGAGTATGTCTGTGTTCCCAAGATCTCATGTCAGATTTCAGGGCATTTTTCCAATATTCACGTGATAAACTAAACACGAAAACTTGAACACAAAAGCAAGATGTATTACCCAAATTAGGGTAAGTGGAAGACATGGATGACCTTGGCTGGTCTTTCTGGAACTGCAGTCTCTTGAACCACTACAATAGAAGACTATCTACAAGGCATACATAGGATTGGATTTTACCTGCAAGTGGACAGAGCCCCGGAGGAGTCTGCTGTCGTACAAAGGAGAGAAATTCATACTCTGCCTGCTGCAATGTAATTGTACTCTCCTTCACGGCCTTGGTAAGACCAGACTGCAAGAGAGAATCCCCAGCCCCCACCAGAAACACATGAAGTCAGTTTTCAAATGCATCCAGAAATGAAACTTCACTTCTAAAATGGGCAAATATAACCACAGATAGGCCATTTTTAGAGCTCAAGTTCAAATTGAAACTGCCATCTTTACACCAATTTTTTCTTAAAGAATCCAAGCCAAATCAGCTGTTCCTGATTGTTAATAGCATTTCCACACAGTCAAAAAAGATGGCGCCCAAAGTCCAAGGGTATAACCTCTGGGAAGAAACAACTATTAACAGGAGAGCAGCATTCCCCCTTCTCTGAAAGGGTGATGTCTAACCTTATCCAAAAGACTGACTTGAGCAATACTTGAGAATCCACAATGCGTTCGCGACAGACTGAATGTAGGAGAGAAAAAAAGAGGACATTCAGGAGAAGATGGTCTCGAGAGGTCCCAAAGATGAAAAGTAAAGCAGCAAGCAGTTTCCCAGGCTTGCCAAGCAATCTTCCTCTAACCCTTTTTTAAATACCATCCAACAATGGTATAGGATTCAGATGTGGGAGCAACAAGCTTGTTATGATCCCCAAAGCAGCAATCCTGTTATTTGGTAATGTTACCTTCCCATGATGCTCCTTACACCAATCTGACATGCTGTCCAGCAACTCATCTGGCTGCTTTATAATCAGGTTAGGACCCTGTGGATGGAAAAGGCCATTAGGCATCAGGAACCAACAGGAATAACCTTACTGTCTGAGATAAAAAGTTTAAGCTGCTTTTAGGATTAAATATACTGGCCAGAGAAATTAAGAGATCAGAGCACATCATTAACTCTAAAAGTGGTCCTCATTCCTTCCAGTACTATTTATGACAGCATAACAACAAACACACACCTGAGAACCTAAATGTCTATTCAGAGAAGACACAGATCTATACTGTATCAAGGGTTGGCAAACTATGGCCCCCGCCTGCAGCTGTTTTTTTACGGCCAGCAAGTTAAGAATGGTTTTTACATTTTTTAAGGATTATAGAAGAAAGAAAGAACATGTGACAGAAAGGTATGTGGCACCGAAAACTTCAAATAAATACTACCTGAATTACAGAAAAAAGTTTGTTTTTGCTGTTAGATCCCCCAGAGTCAACTCTCACCAGCAATTAGGAATACACTCTGAAAAGCATCTACTTTATATTGCCAAGTGAAAGAAAACTGTGGAACAGTATAAATGATACACTTTACACTTATTTAAAAAAAGAAAAAAAGAATACACACATACATACAAAATACCAAGAAAATACATAAACTTTGGTGAATAGGAATGGGATAAGAAGAAAAACTAGTAACTCACTATACGTGTATTTTTGATAAAGTTATACTCTTTAATTTTAACATTATTTTTACATTAAACACACCAAAAAAATTTAAAGAGGTATTTAGTGACATCTGGGGACAACAAAAAGTAGACTTCAAATTCTCAGCTCCATTTAACAGTCAAAACATTCAACTGAGAGTAACAAGGATAGAGTCCCAGGAGTAACAGTACGCTAACCTGTGGCATTAAAGCAAGTCACCTCGGGCTTTGTTTCTCCTTCTGTATGATGGGGATGATAACAACAAACTGCCCTCCCCTTCACTCAGGGATGTTAACAGGATTAAAAAAAATTACAGATATGAAAGTTCTTTGAACTCTCTGGAAGAAAAGTACTCTATAAATCCAAGGTATCCGTACTACTAAGCTGATAAAAATGGTTTGCAATCATTGAAAGGAATGACGAGAATTTGACTAAAATATGCCTGACATCCTACAATAGTTTTAGTCAAAGAAGAAAACTGGTGATGGTCAAAACAATCTCAGTGGGGAAGCCAAAGATTTGCTCTGATAATATATTTAAAAAAAAAAAAATTCATCATGTAAAAAAAACAACTCTAATCAACAATGGTAGAAAAAGTAAACTATTATAAAGCTAAGGCTTATACAGCTTATTCTAGATCCCAGTTGGCAAACTGAACTAGCTACAGAAGAAGTTTCAGAGTCAGACGTTTGTTCTTTTCTAGCATAAGATATTTTCCTCAGACTCTTATACAAAGATAAAATGTATTTTCCACAGAACTAACACTTAAGTGCCAATAGCCTCTAATTTTTTTTTTTTTTTAACATTCCCTATCCTCATCTTTGTCTACTTACGAATGTTGCACTCATCTGCAGCTGTGTGAATACACACCCAAATTTCCTCCAGGGTACATATCAACTAACTGGTTCATTAAACTGTCAGTATTTCACATTATAGCAACAGTCTAAAGGAAAAACTCTTCTTCAGCCAAGTTAGGTAAGTAGAGCTGGTAAAATAAAAACGCTTCACTATTCGTCTCCAATAAATTCTAAATGACAGTAAAAACAACCAAACCTAAAACTCAAAGCTTTATTTATATAAAGTTCAAAAAAAAAAAAAACTAATTATTATAATGCGAGAAATACAAAGTCTCATGATTCGTCTTCAGCTGACGTGCTGATGTATCAGGAAGACATCGCTGGTACTCCGAGAATAGCTGGTAATTCATCTATAAATGCTTCCCCGCCCCCCTTACCTACCCAAGAAAGTAATGGAAGAATTAACTGTAGATTTATGAACTTTACCCACTGTCAGTAACAAATCGATCCTACCTCTGTAAACTTTTTTTTTCTTTAACAACACTCTCTTTTGTTCCTACTTTGTTCCTATTCTAGACTTTCTTGATGACTCTGAATATTGCTGACAATATGAAACAGAGTTATTCAAGGTCAGGGATTTCACCCCTTACCAATCACATGGTGTCACGTACTTATTAAGTGCTTCATGAGGGGCTGAAATTCAACACGTTATGTTTTATGTTTTGTTTAATGTTCCAATTGAAAGCATGTAAAAACCTTAATTATGCCCCATATGTCCACAAGAATACATTTTATGGATGTGCATCAACAGAAATTCTAAAATCTTAATATAGATCTAGAAGAATCACACATCCTAGCTGAAAAGGCAGGAATTAGGTATCTGGAGTCAAGTTAAAATGAAGGTTATGATAGTAAGATGCAAACTTTGACAAGAGTCACCAAACCTGATGGAACAAGGCAGCCCAGTGGTCAGGAGCACTTTACTGACTGCCTGGATTCAACTACTGGCTCCCCCAGTGACTAGCCAGGTGGTCTTGCACAAATTACCCAATGTCTGTGCCAAAAGGAATCATCTATAAAATGGGCATTGTAACAGTACCAACTTTATACTTGATGTGAGGATTAAGAGTGAGTACATGCAAAACCCTTAAAACTGTGCCTGGTGCACAGTAAGCACTCAGTAAATGATAGTATTAATGTGTCTTTTGGTTTCTGGTATGGTTTCTTTTAAAGCTAAGTAGCCTGCTAGATGGATTACTTTGGTTCTAGTATCAAACCTACCATGACCTAGCACCTTACTTAGAACCTTTATCTACATAGACCTCAGTTTTCTTACTTTTTTAAATAAAGAGACTTGGGGTGGGGTGGGGGGGGTGATCTTTCAAATTTCAATCAACTCCAAACAGTCTGACTGCATTATATGGCATCACCTACTTCAGCCAAAATGTTGAGATCAGAGTCAGTTATCAGACAGGCCATCTCAATAATCTGATCCTTCTCAATGTCCAATCCTGTCATCTGCAATAAAAATAAATAAATATTAAACATAAAACCATCTTTCTGGCCTATTTTACCGAAGTTTAACAGGAATTCCCTCAAGCATATTCAGTTAATATCCCTAACTGTGACAGAAGAGACAACAATGCCACTTAGGCAAGTCCACCAGACAGGAAATGAGGGTCTTTATTCAACAAACATTTACCAAGGGCCTACTGTACGTCAGGCACCCAGTTCCACTGTGGAGTAGGTGCAAAGTAAGTAAAACAGGGTCCCTGTGCTGGCCACACTCAATTTTGGAAGTTAGATAACTATCACTACACCCCAGCAAGGTTTGCAAAGTTTTCATATGAATTATACCACTTGACCTGCACTACAATCTGATGCAGAAAACGCTATTATTATTCCCATTTTATACAGAAGAAAACTGAGAATGAAAGAGAGGGGGCAGCCCTTGTCATGAGCAATGTTAAACATAATGGAATCAGAACCAGAACTGGGTTCTAATCCCAACTCAGACACTCACTAACATCATGACCTTGAATGTCTGGAACCCTCTCTAAGGCCCTCAGTTTCCTAACTTATGAAATCGAGGATAAGGCTGAGTCATCTCTAGAGTCTGGTTTAGCTCTAACAACTTACAGTCCTTTAAGGCTTGGGAGAGAGGGGTCAGCAGAGCCACTGTTCCCACCCCCACTCCTGTCACACTAAGTTCAAAGGGACTAGCGCATTACAGAGGCCCACATCTGGGCAGATGGGGAGTACCGTATGGATGACTCCTCCTTTTTTAAAAGAAACCCCACAACCTAGCACGGCCCCCCCACACGCAGGTCTCCTGCCCCCGGACTTGCCCCGTGACCCCAGAGCCCAGCTGCGCTCACCTACCACACCTGAGCCCAGACCCCCGTCGCTCTCCCCGACAGGCTGGGCTACTGGGTCCCATGCGCGAAACCTCACTCACCTCTCCTAAGCCCCCGCCGACCTCACTCACCTCCAAGTCCACCCAGACCATCCGCTGAGCCATGCTCTCCCCTGTCGCCATGGCTGCGCCACCTTCGCGGACACCCCGCCCCCAGAACTGCCCGCAACTCCCACCCACACTTCGCAACAGCCTGGAGCCCAGGGAGCCGCCTAACATCACCCGGCACGAGCCTTCACAGCCCCAGCCTATCAGCCGGCGCTGGCGCAGGCGCGATAGTCGCTAAATGTCGCAAACCCGCAGAGAGGTGCAGAAGCAAAAACCACAGGTCCCAGCATCCAGTGCGCCGGCTCGCCCTGAACAGCCCGGCTTAGCTGCCGAACGAGATGATGGGACTTAGAGTCTTGCCAGGAGTTGAGACCTGATTCCCCACCCCCGCCACGTGTTTTTCGGATGTTAACTGGACGCGCATGTTTTTCCCAACTAAGTTGATTTGCTGCCAACAGTTTTTATTTCCTGAGTTTTGGTTAGTTGTAAACCGCCTAGTTTAAAAAGAGCTCTTTTACTTTAGGTGGTCGAAATAATGTGTTTATCTGTTTGTAAGTTTTTTTCAAATATATCTTTCCTTATTTGTTTTTTTTTTTTCTCTTTCTTTCCTTACCCTCCCCGAACCACGCACACACATAGGGTATTTTTTTTTTTTTGCTTGAAACAGAAAAGAGTGGTGTGCTTTTATAGGCCAGAAGGCCAATTCCACTTTAATCAAATCCTTTAGATATCCTTAAATGGAATCTTTGCTGAGAGATCACTTAGCACATATCAAAGCTCTGATTAGGTAACAAAGTTTCTCTCTCACAAAACCAGCTCACCAGGCAAGAGTAACCATGTGATGGGCCACAAGTTTTTTAATTAGTGACAGTACAGCTCTTAGAAAAACATGTACATGATACAGTTCAAGACCGAGATCAACATTTGCGACAAGGTTGCACTCTGCACACGAATTTGCTGAATAGCCACTGTTTAAGGAGAGAGTAGTATACTGGGTTTCACCTATTCCTTCGATGTACACAACCCACTACCTGCCAGCGCACAAAGAAGCTCTCTTTGAAGGGTCTTCAAATCGTGGACACAAATTATACATATAGAATCACTGAGCGCAATGTGCACACATTATACATATATAATCATTGAGCCCGATGTGCATATATTGTAACTGTTTTGCCTGATGGGTCGCATTGTTTTGCTATAGCTTTTTATTCAGTTGTAGCCTACTTTATAAAAAATGATCTACACTTCTTTTTTTCTTAGTTTTAAATTTGGTTCATATAAAGCAGAATCAATGGAAGTATTAAAACTTTTATCAGCTTGGCTTTTTATTATCCTCTCAAGGTATTATTTCTTTAAATTTTCCAAAGAACATCTTTTGTTTTCAGTGTTACTATTAGAACATTGACTAGTTTTATTACAAATTACAACTTCAGTGGTGGTATTTACATTTAAGAACTTACATCCTGATAAATCATAATCATAATTCAAAAATAATGGGTAGTTAAAATTATATGATGAGTATCCATACAGTGGAATATTATTCAGCCATAAAGATGAATGAAGTACAGACACATGCCACAATGTGGATGGACCTCAAAAACATTATGCTAAGTGAAAAAAGGCCACACATTGTATGATTCTATTTATATGACATGTCCAGATGGCACAGTGATAAAGCACTCAGCCACTAACCGCGAGGTTGACAGTTGGAACCCACCAACCACTCCGCAGGAGAAGGATGTAGCAGTCTGCTTCCATAAAGAGTATAGCCTTGGAAACCCTATGGGGCAGTTCTGCTCTGTCCTATAGGATCGCTATGAGTCAGAATAGACTTCATGGCAACTAGTTTGGTCCAGAATAGGTAAACCCACAGAGAGAGTGGTTGCCAGGGACTGGGGGAAGGGATGAATGGGAAGAATGGGGAATGACTCCTTAATGGGTATGGCGTTTCCTTTTGGAGTGATAAAAGTGTTTTGGAAATAGGCAGAGGTAGTGGTTGCACAACACTGTGAGCATGCTAAATGCTGCTGAATTTTACGCTTCAAAATAGTTAAAGTTATGTGAATTTCATCTTAATAAAAAGAGGTGTGGACATTTTTGAAGTTTAAATTTTTATTCAGATATGGTAATGTACTTTCACTGTTTCACTGTAACAATAAAGGCAGGCTTTAGATAATTGTATTGTCCAAAACGGCATGGCAGCACGTTGTCACTGACCCCTTCCTCTAACTTCACAAGGTGAAGAAGAATCAAGATCAACAGCCCAAGGCTGATTCTTATGAAGTGGAGGTCAGATATATTTCTTCTCTCCAAACTTTTTGCTAATTCTGACACCAGCCATCCCTCCCAGGGCACTCTCTACTTCTCTGCTGGGTTCAGTAATTCGTTGCAATGGCCACACAGAACTCACAGACCATACTCACAGTTACGGGGTTTATGAGGGAAGTAACAGGTTACATACAATTCAGAATGAGGAACGACTCAGGATACAGTTCTTAGGTCAGGACAGCTTCTCAGCCAGGCCCACAGGCAGACCTCTCCCTGGTTCTCAGCCTCTTGGCCCTCAACTGCTCGCTCCTTGGGCCTCTTGGGCTGGCCCAGCCTCTGGCCTGCTCAGGCAAGTGTTACAAAGCTCTTTAGCTCCAACAACAAGTACCCAGAGGCACCCCACTCTGCCAGCAAGCCTCCTGCCCAAAGACACTCAGCGTTCTCTTTCCATGGGCCAGGAAGCCCACCACACCACCTCCTGCCAGTCTCCTGGTTCTGCTGCTGCCGATTCTCTCCCACACTTGCTGCTACTTCTCACCATATTGCACTGTCTCCAGTGTTACAGCTCTCTGTCTCCTGGGTCTAGGAGCTTCTCAGTGCAGGGAACAAAGGACACGCTCTGCTTCTGGCTATTATTTCTTGGTAGTAGTGAGGTCGCCCCTGTCTGCCTCTGGGATGCCTCATTTTAAGCCTGTTGTCTTCAACCCCTTCCGCAAACCCAAGCACCTTAAGGAAAAGTGTTACAGACAAAGAGTGAAGACTAGGAAGTGAAAGTGGGGAATTCAAAGGGAAGAGAAACCTAAACCTGTCAGAGTGGGGCGTAAGTGAAGAGTCGTGCCCAAGGAAAACTCACTGCTTCAAAGAGGCACTGAACAAGGAGGTCCGGGCAGCTGCTTGCCTTTCCAAAGGTCTGGATTCCGTGGGCTGAGTCCACTCACATCTTCAAACCCAGGACTAAATCAGTCCCACCAGAGTCACCAAACTGTTACTGCCGAGGGCACGGAGGCCCTCCAGACTCAATGGGAACTTGTCTTTCTCTTGTAAGAGTACACAGAGGAGACAATTTCTGGGTTCAGCTCTAACAGGTTTATTTTACTTGTGACAAGTAAAAAGAGTCAGTCAGGGCTCATGCCTCTCCAAAAGACTGGTTCACAAGGGGAAGCAAAGCTAGGGCTTATATGGGTTCAGTGGGGACAATAGAGCAATGAATATTCAGTGGGTTTCTTCAAAGGGGCAAGTATTCTTTGGAATGGTAGTGCATACTAATTAGGTTGCATGCACATCTGGAATCCAAGATGGAACCTGCTGATATTTAAGACGGAGTACCCTCAGCAGCTCTCGGCATCACTTCTTACAGGATATGGGATATGGCGCAGGTCCCCTGATCTTCTGTATCACTTCGCCCCCTTCAGTGGCCAAAACAGAGGTCACACTTTGTTCTTCTGCACATGCAGAGCCTGTAAGAAGGGGAAAGGGAATAGAAAAACACTAAGGAGGAAGTAGTAATTCACGGGTTGTTCCAACCTTATTTTATGTTAACAGGATGTGGTTCCTGTTTACCCAACTTCTAGGTGGTAGTCTTTTAACAGCTCTTTTATTCTGCCAGCACAGTTAACTGCCTCTCTCTCAGCAGGATGGCAAAACTGACCCATCCCTTCATTAGGGTTCCCACTCCGACAGGGGTGCTGTGCACCTTATTTGTGTTGTTAGCAAGCTATCCAATCCCCTTGGTAGGCCACAAGAACCTCATTTGCATAGTCCCACTCAGTCATTTGGTGGTAGTTACAAAACCATGTTGAGAAAGGCCATCCATTACACTGAAAATATTACAAAGTTAGAAGAGTTATAATTTTTTGGTTTTTGTATGTCATAGCATTAGACTGGCAATCTTAAAGATTAATGTCCTAAGTTAGAGTAATGTATGCACCAAATTCATAAATCCAAACCATGTATACAAGGGGGAGGGCAGACACAAGAATATGGGCCCGCAGAATCTGGAAGCAGCCAGGTCCCACAGATGACTCAATCAGTTCTTCCCCATTTCTTTTCTTAACAGACTTTATCTCAAAGCCATGTTACTCTGCTCAGAGACTTTGCTATTTTAATTCTGCTGTGAATCAATAAAAACTGCCTTTGTTAATTAACATCAAGGACATTGTGCCAAGAAAACTTGTTCTCGAAAATCAGACTATGAAAAAGTTTGCTGTTTGAAGTAAGAATGGAATATCTCCCTCTTGCTTAAAGAATCTGAGCCATGTGGGTCACTTTGACACAGAGAAGCAGCCCCAATTTCTAACCAGGAGCAGAGATTCAGATAAAGGGTTTCAGACCACACATTCCACATTTATCTTAACTTCCTAGTTTCTAGGGATAAGATAAAAGGGCCCTGAGTCTGCTTCTTAGCACTGCTGGTAATCAGGCTGTGATACTCCTAACAGAATCTAAGACAATGTTTCTAATGGGACATGGCCAAGACCAAGCAAACCTTCCCCTTTATGAAAGATTGTTACTTTGAGGAGAGGGGAAGCAAGGTTTTTTAATTTTATTTTTTATTACTGCTTTGTTACCAGTGACTTCCCCAGCCCTCCTTTGTTCTTCCATCCTCCTGAACAAAGCTAACTATGATAACTAATTCAAAGGTTGTCAGTCCCCCCACCCCCCACTCCCGTTCTTCCTTAGAATCATCCCACACCCTATAAACAAAGAAAATCCCTCTCTCCTCCCTCTTAGAAAAGGCCCCTGATTCCTCATGTTAATTTTGCAGCAAGTTCATAAGCAAGAAAAATTATGTTCCTACTGATCTTTATCTGGTGCACTTTATCACCATCCTATTAAACCAGCCTCTTTACTTTTTAGAATACGTTTATTTTATACCTTTGTAAGACCAGCACAGAACCAGATAGTAATGGTGGTAGGACTAGTTAGTAGTC